AATGTGTATTCTATTGTTTCCCAACCTAGTCGAAACTCTTTAAGTCAAAATATTGTTTATTTTGTAATTTGTATACTATTTTAAGCATGAAATATTTATCGTTTCCTAGGGAGCCAGCTGTTTTTTCGGTCAAGAGGCCGAACCACGAAAGACACATATTAAAATGTAAAGTCTGCGCCCTCCCTTGCGGGGTCACTTCGGTCGAAAGTTCGTTGCCCTTCCGAGGCACGCATGGAGCCAACAGTCCAACAGTGTTTACTCAGCACTAACTTAAGTACACATAAGGCTATGTGGTATCACCGCCTCCTTCCCCTGTTGGGAGGGTGGTTCCGAACCCATAAGGTCGAGAGCCGGAAAAAATATTCTAATCTCGTAACAAATTAGTGCAAACCCTTCTTGATATTTCAGTATATTGAAGTATGATATGAGCTTGATGTTTCAGTATATTGAAGTAGGAAGGGTAGATATACATCACTCAGTAGTAGCGAGAGGTAAGATGATAGCTACGCGAAATAAACTTCTGTGTTAGCTCCATTCAATGACACTGAGTATTTAGTGTGTAATTAACTGTCGACCATTCTTTTCTTTTTTTTATTAACTTTCACGAATCTCTTTTTCGGAGCTCGTAGAGGCGAAGTCGTGGGAAAACAGATAATTTCAAGTGGCAGGATAAGAAGTCACGGTGAAACTATAATATCGTCACTTAACAATCTGTCTAATTCATACTAATAGGTATTATAAAGAGGGAAGATTTGATTGTTTGTTTGTTTGCATTGAATATGCACCGAAACTAATGGACCGATTAGAAAACATATTTCGCCTAAGGATAGCTATATTATACGAGGGCAAAGTCGAGGGAATACAGCTAGTTAACTGTATAAACTATCGCAGGTTATAATAGAGTATTTGACAACATTAATAATATGTTAATTTTTATTTTAAATGAAATAATAATATAATAGATTACACCAAATAAAATTAAATATTTTGTGACATTTTATCCGAGATCAAAACGGTTACAACTCCGGTGACGTCACACTCTAGTAAATATGGCTTCCAGTACGCCGTGTATGATAGAAACTGCGTTTTCGCCCGGTTTCGGAATTATAAACTTTAACTTTGATTTTTATTGATAAATGCAGTAAATTTCTTCGAAATATTAATGTTATGTTTTCACTACATAGTATAAAACAAAGTCGCTTTCTCTGTCCCTATATCCGTATTTATGCTTAAATATTTAAAACTACGCAACGGATTTTGATGCGGTTTTTTTTATAGATAGGGTGATTCAAAAGGAAGGTTTTTATGTATAATACTAGAGCACGCGGGCGGAGCCGCTGGCGGAAAGCTAGAAAAGAATAATTTGAAACGATTTATAAAAATTAGTCAATTACATAGGGTATTTGACTATTTTTTACCAGACTACGCGACGCAAAGGAGGGTAATGTGTTTATCAGTCTATGTATGTATGTTTTTTTTCTATGTGTTGTTCTAGAGACCAAATGCGTAGGCCGATTTTGATGATTCTTACGTCAATCGATTCGTCTTAACCTTGCAAGTGTCACTAAAGACATGACAGTAATCAAAATTCACCACAGCGACAACCAGACGCCATATTGTCAAAATGAAAAAAAAAATCGACGAACTATGTCAAGTGGGGTGTCGTTGAATAGGTATTTTAAAATCATCTTTAGGTTCCGTTTTTTAACTAATTTTCTGGCCATATTATCAACAGATGACGATAAAAAATTTACGGTGGCATGTATCAATCATTTAAAGATAATAAAACTACAAAATACACATCTTATTGGCTATATTTATACATAAATACATCGACAGTTTTTTTTTATAGTTTTTACATTATATGTAGGTATAAAACATCGATAAATCTATAATTACTTCTTAATCTCGACTGGGTCTGATAAAATATATATTTCGAATAAAATTGAGGAATTTCCATATCTTTTCATACAATTTTCTAAGAAAATAATACAAAATTATTAGGAAGGCGATACATTATATGCTAACTACATAATAAATACATATCTCACTGTTATAACCAGAGGTCGGAATTAGGTAGAGTTATTTATGTACTTGCATCGAAATGTTGATATTAATGTGGACCTCCCGGGATTTCTTTATTTCTTTCTTTGAATAACTCTACCTAATTCCGACCACTGGTTATCTTATAACACATATCAATAATTTCTTATAATAGAGAAATTTAATTTTTCTCCTACGATTCAGAAAAGTAAGCAAAAAAAATTGCGTCATAATTATTATACCATGGATATTTTGGCTTGTCTGTCCGTCAGATGATTGAATAATATTAAACACGTTTTTTTTTGCGTAATAAGTAAATTACGGAGTTGGTCACATGACGTCACGCTTTTGTACTTTTTCTTCAATACTGTGACGTAACGAGCCCCCACTCCTGGTTAATGCCTGTTGCTAAATTAAAGCAAAAAAAAAATAAGTGAATTAATATTTTTCTTTTATCCGACCGACGAACTGAATAGAATTTTTTTTTACCCCGGCATATAAAAATTTACTTACATAGACTAGATACTTTTTTTATATATTTGTACTCTGCATTGTAGTTTCTGTTAACATTTTTTGAAAAACGAATAGGTTTATTGTCGCTAGATGGCGATGACGTTCATATACCCTGTATTTAACAAATACTGTACGAATTCTGCATCGCGATGTTAAGGTTGTTTTATCGCATACATATATAATCGAATATTCTGAACAAACGCGTAATAATTTATTGTGTACGATTCTTGGAATAAAACATTCTGTTCCGATGTGTAATTATAATTAATTTGGAACTTTTGTAAATGGAAAAAGAATTCTATAACCTTTTAAACTATCTAGGTAATGAGGTAAAGTGGTAAATAAATTGAACGAATGGAAATGAGTATACTTTTGACTCCTCTAACATGGTTATGTTAGAGTACTCTGAAATATACTATTAGGTTTTAACCCGGTCACGAAAAAGGAAGGAAAAGTAAACTACACTAATAACACACGAAATCAGTCAATTAAGGACACCATTTAGTGGAAGGAACGAACTGTATTAGGTCACTATCGACTAAGGGGCCTAATTTTTTAATTTGAAATCGCGCAATCCCTTTCAATTTCATATTAGAAATATTAACTTCACGCTACACCTATTTGAGATTTTTTGAAAGATAATTGAATTAAACGCCTTCAAAAAAAGGAGGACGTTCTCAATTCGACTGATCTTTTTCTTTTTTTTTCTGTTTGTTAGCTCATAACTTTTTACTGGTTGGACCTATTTTGATGATTATTTTTTTATTTAAAGCTTTTGAACGTTTTTTATGTACGTATTTACTGACTGGATGCATGCATGCGTTCACCATATCATCGTGCTCTGAATATTAACTTTGATTAGATATATTTATTATTTTAAAGATATATTTATTAAAATTGTTGTTTTAAGGGCAAAAGTTGAGAGATGTCTCTTTGTATTTTGATATAGTTTCGTTTGAATAGTATTTAAGAATAAGAATGAATCGCCGAAATTTATGTACACGCATAACTTCCGAACGACCGCATCAAATGGGCAGATTATTTTCAGGTCAAAACAAAGATTGTATTTAAGAAAATTTATAAAAAGATAATTCGTCAGTGGCGACTGGAGAAATAATATATGGTGGTGGTAAGTGTGCCGGGTCAGCTTATATAACTAAATAAGATTGAGAGACAATTACATTTTCTGAGGTGGGAAAAAAAGAAAGTAACTATAATACAAACGGTCTGTTACACAAACATCCATTGGGGTTTAATGACGCCTTTAAGCTCTAATGAATATCAAATTTGTGTGGGTAATGGCGTTTTAAACAAATAAAAATATTAATGAGCGTTTGTGCAACTGGGTGTAAATCTTATTATAACATAATTCGCTAACAAACTAAATAAAATGACTTTAAACATTTAAAAAGTAATATTTTTAACAGAAATATCTATTCAAATAAATAAAATCGATTTGTCTGTTTGTTAAAATAAGCGCTTCTTACTAAACGCTTTTGAATGCAAACACGTGGTACATATACCAAAATGAGATTTTCTTTTACGTTTTTTGTTCTGGCTAATGAAACGGCTGGACCGATTTTGAAGAGACTTTCACTGGCTTGGGCCTAGCTTATGTAATACTTAACTTAGGCTATTTTCCACGCGGACGAAGTCGAGAGCACAGCTAGTGTGTAATAATCGTGTTTAAAGTCTTTTTATTTAGTCAAAATGTATTTCAACTAATAAAATTAAAAAAGGATTGATCTAAAATGTTGGATACTTCAAGTTAAAAAAAAAAAGAAAAGGAGGTTATTCTAAATTTGTTAAAATATGTTGTTTAAAGATATTGAATATTTCAATAACAGGGTTTAATCTAACCATGAGTTCTTATAGCGTTTAAACCGTGCAGCGAGCGGGACGCAGGTATTCTGTCTGTAGTGCTGTCCTGGGGCGCGACCGCCTAACTTATGTGCTGTCCTGGGGCGCGACCGCCTAACTTATGGACGTAGCCGTAGTCATAGCAGTTGTATTACCTATGCTTTATTGGTGTTTCACATATATTTATTTATTTATTTAAGCTTTATTGCACAAATTAAAATGTACAAATGGCGGACTTGATGCCATGGGGGCATTCTCTACCAGTCAACCGGAGAGTTTTAGCAGAGAGCAGAGAAAAAAAGGCGGTGCAACTATGAAACAGAGAGCCAAACAGTTTCAATGTGAAAAATTAAATTACAACTACCAATATCTATGCATAAATTTACATACACATACATAACATACATACATAAATAAATAAATATATACATATATGTATATAAACAAATAAATATATATACTTACATAAACACTTTAACCACAAACCACAGAAGAATTCAATAGATGTTCGCGCAGTAGACGTTTGAAAGCATGTTTATTTGGAGCAGCTTGTATGTGGGAAGGCAGTACATTCCAGAGTCGTATAGCTTGAAGCGAAAATGAATTGGAAATGAAACCTGTCCGGTGAGAAGGAAAAATGAGAGTTTGTTTGCTGTCTGAACGAAGATTACGGCTGTGAGAAGCACCTAGATACTGAAATTTACATTTCAAATATCCAGGTGCATACGGATCTTTAAGTATAGAATAGAGAGTGGAAAGGATCCTCAGATCCCTACGCTGGCGAATTGTTAGCCATTTCAAAAATTAATCGTTTATTATTATTTACATATTTAATCAAACATTTTGGTTGTTTTTGTTAACTGAATTATTAAAGTTAAACGAAATTTACAAAATGCCGAATTTATACAAACAATGCTATTTCGAAAAGAAAAACAAACCAAAACGTTTGTTTAAAATATATAAAAAAACAATTAATTTTAAAACAACATCAACAGATTCATGTGTAAAACATATAAAGCGTAGGTTATAGCTACGACGACGGCTACGTCCATGAGTTAGGCGGTCGCGTCCCTGATCGCTGCATGGATTAAACATTGCAATAAGAGGTGATAGGAAAGCCACAGGGCATATCGCAATCTTACCAATTTCAGTTACTCATGGCGATTGTAAGTCAAAGATTATTGGAAGTTAAGTATTATGTTATTTGTTATGTTACTCGTAAGTTTTCTAGCAATCGAGTTTTACAACTGGATCAGTGAAGTCTGCGAGCGCTACAAAGCAAATCGCTCAAGTGAGCACACTTGTCTCAGGTGCGCTCATACATCTCACTCTCGACCCGAAAAAGTGACATTTAGGTGTAGACAAAGGGTTTCTCGAGTTAGTCATGCTACACGTGCTGGACATTATTGGCGACTGATATATAAACATGCATAAAAATTATGTCATTTGTCATTAACACATATAAAATTTTCAGTATTCAAGGATAGCCAAATACAAATTTTGAACATTAATTCCTGTGAGGTTGGCTATTAGATAAGAAGAAATCTTCATTTTAAACAATAGCAGTGTTTTTAAATAAACAAGGATTAGCGTCGGAGTAAATTAACGCTGAGACTGCACTTGGTATTTGGTATTAAACAAGCACTTAGCAGAGGTTAACCTAGTATGAGGTTCTATGGCAGTATAATTTACTCAAAGAAGGTAGTAGGTTTGCTTATACTCTGTATAATATGAATTTGGACTAATATTAAATTTGCAATTTTAATGTTAGTCCGAATTCATATTGTAATAAAGTAAATTTAATCTGACGCTAAACCGTTACTTAAACACTGTAGAGGTTAAAATTATAAACTTTTTTTTTGATGAAGTGACATCCGATTTGTTGCATTTATCCTTGAATATAGAATTTGAATTAGCGCAACAATTATTGATTACTATCTATAAATATTCATATTTATAATCATCTGGTTTTTTTATAACAGTAATTAAATAAAGTTTTGCGAACACTACATTATTCAAATCAATAAAAATATGAACGACAAGATTATGGCTTCAACTTAATGTTGACATCATAAAAACAGCTTTCTGAAAACCGTAACTGCTAATTTGTTAATATTTTACATAGAACACATATAATCAAGTATTGATTTCAAATTATTGCCTCTTGTACATTAAGAGGCACTCTGATCTCTCATAAGACATTATAGCAACAGCGAGACAACATATAAAACAAGCAAATACTGCACAGCTTGCGCTAGATCTTTATAAGCAGGTCATCTCATCTGCTCTTTGGATGCCATCGACAAAGCTTGACCGACTAACACTTTGTCACCAGCGGAAAATTCAAATTTAAAATCTTTAGGAGCTTCAAACAATAAAATTATCGTACTACCCATATTGAATTGACCGAATAATTCACCTTTCTTTATATCTAGTTGCCCGAGATCCTGTTCATTGATTCGGTTGCGTTTACCTTTTGTGTTCGTTTGCAGGTGTGGGTCTTTGTATATTTCTATAGAACCAACATTTGTCGCACCGACAGCAGCCATACTAAAGAAGCCATACTTCCACTCGCCAACATAAACCGCTCGTTCGTTCATCGTGAACAGACCGGGGATGAGTCGTGCCATCCACGGGTTCACCGATAGAAGTTTTCCGGAGAAGTGCCGTCTAAACGTCGATGTCCAGTCACACGGAGAATGGAACCGATGATAATCACCGGGTGCTAAATAAATTATGCACTGGTGTAAGATATTATCTTTGTTTATTATTAAAGAGTCGTAATAACTGGTACCTTTGTTTTTGGACCATTTATTGTCCCCAAGGAACTCTTCTAAGCTGTAAGTGACACCTTTTACTTGTTCTATTTTATCTGTATCGGCGGGACCACAATTCAAAACTACACCATCGCAAGGTGATACGCATGGAGCCGGTGATATAAAACGTGCCCCATCTCTTAAAGGGCGTGTGAAAAATGCTGACAAACTTTTGTAATAAGTCAAATCTGGAATCGCCGCTTCGTTCATGTTGACATTAAACATTTTCACGTAAGTTCCATACACGAAACTTCTCAACGAAATTGGTAGTTCACATGCAGCAATCCGACCCCACAATCTACTGGTAACGCGAAATGGAAACATTTCGTAGAAGCGAATTTCGATTTTAGACACTTCATAGTCGATACTTGCGCGTATGTAACACCAACCGACGTAAATCACACTACCGAGAGGCACCCAACGTGTTATTATCGAACGGAGATTCATCCATTTAGTTTTCTGTATTTGAGAAGCCTTTGTTTGATTGTGAAGCGTAGATGTTTGACGGAACGGACGATGAGGCCGTAGCTTCTGTCGAAACAAAGGGTTTATAACTGGAAGGCAGCCCCGAATGCGACTCGGTGGAAACATTTCGCATACGACCACCTTCCGACGAGTATAAAAATAATCTGTTTATTGTACAATACAATTATTTTTAAAGCACTGTTGCTAACACAACACAAGAAGTTCAATAACAATCACAGACTAAATTATAACCATTCATTCGTATCACATTTGACGTCTATCAATTTCAATCGAAACCACAGATTGGTTAACTTTATAGTGATGGGCCACAGTGGTTAAACTTGTAAAGAACCGTTATATTGCCGATTTTGAGGTTACATCGCTCAGTGAATAGTACAGTGGCACAACCACAGAAATAGATCTAGTTAGAAGGAACATGTTCGTCGATTTATATGGAGACCGAGCGTGCCCCATTTTATGTAGGTATCATGACGTCACGAACTTAATTTAGTGATGGAAAACATAATTTCTCTTCAATCGAATACATGTTGTATTTGAAACAGCATACCAATTCTTATCGATTTAAAAACCGATATCGAACGACGGAGACCAATGTGTAACATTTTGCTTAAATATTATGTATATGTCACGAATGTAATTTAGTAAAACTGCACAAAATAGTACGTGCGGTGGCGTGACGGAGTCAGCGTAGTTGACGATCAAAATATCGGACCTTTGTCTTCATTGTGAATAGAAATAAGTATATTCCTCTGTCTAACATTATTCGTGTGACCAAATCATTTTACTTATACCGCATACCTAATATCATATTTTTATCAGTAAGAACCGACAGCTAAAATGATAATTAGTTTTGACAGACAAAATGATAATACTAACGTATCGATAGAAAAAAAATGAGAAAGTCACAGACTTCAATTTAGAATTCAATATAAGTCGATTAATTGAGATCGAGATTGCGTCAATGACTACAAAACTAAATGGATCAATAATTTATTGTCACAATAATACAGTATCACATACTTTATATCAATATATGTTCAATACAAAAATACTCCGAATTTTATGATAATACTTACCATTTCACACTTTCTCTTCCTGAGCTTACTGTACATATTATTTGATTCCTTATCTGAACAAGATGGGTCTATCTGCGGCACAAATTGTATTACATTCATTAATTATATAAAACAAAATATTATAAAACAAAGTAACTATTTCATTTTCTATTTGCAGTAAAGTCAAAAACTACTAGTTTTCACCAATAGATAGAATGATGCCATGTATAATTTGCCTAAGCAAAATAATGTGTGCTGAGGCCACTATTAATATCCACTGTAATACAAAATATCACATTTGAAATCCTAACAGTAAACACCGTTTAGCTACTACTAAGCTAAACGGTGTGATTGTTCATTTAACTTCTTCTTTTATTTTATTCCCTCGCACAACTGTGTTTGAATCTGTAACTAAACAAAGATGTGCAAAAGAAATATTACACTGTCACTAAATATATTTCTGTGATACAATCCTATCTATTTATGTCACCTGATTTATCCATTAGATTCGGAAAATTACGGCTGTGACATACGGACGAACAGGCAGACTCATATTCGATAGGATCGCTGGTAGATTACACTTTTTGTATGAAATAATGTAAAAAATCTTAAGGTATACTTTACCTTTTTTTCAGTTGTCATTATCACAACATCAATAGTCGGATATGCTGTTTTTATTACTCGTCGGTACTTTGATGGACCAGTAAAGGTATCTTCATAGAAATGAATTGAACAAATCCGACTGTTTTTTGTAGGATACCAATTTTTACGTCCTGTTGCTTCAATCCATTTTTTTTTAAATATATGGATCATTCGGAAAACTTAAAAAAAATACAGTACAAATATTCAATATAAAAAATAAATTATCATTTCTTCTGCTTAAAAAACGTTTTTTTTTAATCGGTTAAACAACATCGCATTGTACAGCACTATTCGCCATTTTTGTCAGTATTTGACCTTCAACAATTTGTCCTTGAATTATAGATCGATGGTTTTACAAGCACGGCAAATTTGGTTCGTCAAATTAAAGCCGTAATGGAAAGCTATTACTGGACACGTGATCGTTTTGACGAAAATAATACGGAGCAAGAAAACAAATGATTTTTAATGCTTAATGGATATATCAAAACAAATAATTACTTACCGATGGAAGGAAATACCTCGATTATAAGATCCAACTATACTGGTGGTGTTTGAGCAGTTAATTATTGAACAACGCGTCATTTTAAATTTCACACCTAACGTTGAACTCGGATTACAATCGAAAGTAGACTGAGCCTCGCGGCGAGCAACGAAGCTGTCTAGACGTCGTTTCGGCACGCGAAGTACGTACACTTTTTCCTTCTTACTAGATATATTTCTGTGGGCACAACTCAAAAACCATTATTTCGAGAAAACGCCACAACATTGTGGTGGCATCCCATAGATAATTTAAAGAAAAAATAAAAAACTTAACAGTAATAATATAATACATACGATTTAACTGTTATGCTAAAAAATTTGATTTTCATAATTATAAATATATTAGATTTTCATAACTTCAGAGAGTGTTTCTCGAAATTATGGTTTTTGAGTTGTGCCACTGTACTATTCAGTGAGCGACATGATAATAAATTGCATTTAATATTAGTTAAATATTTCATTGGAAACTGAAACAAAAACTTTAACTAAAAACCTTCGACCCCGTCAATCACTCAATCAAAAGGTATAAATACAATCTTTTTGTCTCTTTTCATAACTTGATATATAGAACCTATTTAAAAGAAGTTATTTAAATTTCTGGGTGTCGGGTTTCACAACTTTGGGAAACCGCCCCCTAGAATAATTTGAAACTGTTCGTTCAACGTAATAATTGAAAAATGATTGATTAACCCCCGGTTTCAATAACTAAAAAACTATCCGTTTTGCTGCCATCCGTAGCATTTCCTACCGATGGTAGCAAAAAAGTGTTCCAACACTTTTTTGCAAAACTAATATTACTAATATTATTATTAAATACACATACATACCATTGGTAGGTAAAGCTACCGACGGTGTGCTACTAACGGATTGATCTGATACTGATAACCGTTCGTAGGTAAAATGTATGAATATGGCAATGGATTATTTTGACTTTGTCTTGACTATGTACAAGTCCAGATATAGCATACGCTGTAAATTATTTAAGCCACTTTAATAGCCATTATGCTCAACAACACTGGATGGCTGCGAAACGTGTGCTAAGATACCTTCAAGGAACCAAACACTATGGACTTATGTATAAGAGAAGCGTATCAGATGAAATACATTGTTATGCGGATGCAAATCATGCTTCCTGCTATGATAAGAAGTCATATTCAGGAGCAGTATTTATACGCAGCAGAGCAGTATTTATAGCAGCCGCAACCCCAGTGAACACCGAATGTTAAGGGCGCTTGTGCACTACACTGAATTTTCAGGTCCGGCGGTCTGATTTTTTCCGGTCCGGAATGACATGAAAAACCCGGATGAGTAGCTTGTGCACTTGTCCGTTTTTTCCTGATCGGAGCGGCGCAGTGTAGGGCAGCTCTCTTTGAAGCTACACGTCACTTACGCTAGGTACGATGAGATTTTTGGAACGTTGGTAATTGCGTTCGAAGACGTAGAAAGGTACCTGATCATTTTACATAAACCATAATAAATTATGGCAAAAAGTAAGCATTTTTTTACTACTATCGGATGACTACTATCAGATGTAAAAACTTATACCTTTACTAATTTAGAAACGGCATTATTCACATACAATAGCTAAAAATATCTGGGACATTAGAATTTATCTATACTTATCAATTATCAAAAAAAAATTGATAGTGACAAATTTCCAGGCAAACTTTTATTCCCTATTTTTCGCGATAAAATGTAGCCTATGTTCTTTCTTAAAGGTAAGTCTATTTACTATATTAATTTCCATTAAGATGGGTTCAGTTGTTTAGGAATTTAAGCGTAACAACACTTATTTATCTTACCTTAAGATATCGATACTTTTAATATGATTCTAAAATCTGGCTAAGTATTGATACTAGAACCATACGCTGATCAAATTAGAATTATACCGAGTTTGCCAAAGCATATGCAGTGATATTTACCAACTATATTAAATCGTCATATAAACTATATCATTTTATAATCTACAATAAATATCGATTATAAGTTTATTGGAAATTAATAATATCGCCGAAATAAATATCGATTATACACAAATCGATTTTTTTTTTCCCAAGCCTATTCCTTATGAATTTTCCGGATCGCGGACACAGTAGTGCACAAGCATTGCCGCCATCACGGACCTGAAAAAACCGGTCCGGAATAAAGAAAAGTAAAATCCCAGACGGTAAAATTCCTGATAGTGCACATGCTAGCATTACTTATATATGGCCTGACATATCGGACCTGAAAAAATCGGACCGCCGGACATGAAAATTCAGTGTAGTGCACAAGCGCCCTAACAGAGCATTGGAAATGTTCTGCCATCATAAATGTAATATTGAGAAATTAACCTACAGTGTTATATTTATAACTCTCCTATCACCAATCACAATACACACTCTTCGTCCTCTTCCTTGGTATTCACATTTTTTCTCGATATGTATATTTCGGAAATTGATGATTTACGACACTATTAATATTCAAAACAAAGCTTATTCGTTTGACATAACAAAGAGGGGAAGGGAGCCATGGCCGCTGTTTTTTGGCTTCAGTTAGCATGACAAGTGGTGTTGTTGACGTTAGACTTGTTAAAATTATTTTTTTCCTTTTATTATTTTATTTTCCCGCCTTCATTTTGCTTTCATATGTCCGCAAATTACGATGGAGTTAATAAAATTTCGCAAATCAACACGGTACACCGCAAAGCTGACGTTGAATGTGAAACAGCTTTCTCGACTTTCAATGAAGAAAATATCGAGGCTGATTTATTCCGGGGCTTCGAAAAGGTACCGCAAGTGGTCTTGCCGCGTTACGACATCTCTCCTTACCTAAATAATGCCGTCAAGAAGGGTAAGCTTGCTTTCCGTAGTGAAACCGGAGAGAGTTTAAACTCGAAAAGTTCGTCAATATTAAACCGACTAATACAAGATTGTTCTGTTAAAGTTGTGAGAGAAAACTTGGAGCTGTTAAGACAGTCTCTTCTCACCAGTTCTCCTAGGTCTGATATATCAGTTGTAGAGTTTGATGAAAGTATGGCAAATTTAAAATGTAAGATATGTGATAAAGTTTATGCAAACGAAAAGAAATTGTTAAATCATCAACAAAACAAACACATGATTATTTACAAGCCAGAAACGAAACCGCAGAAACATGTCTCCTTTTCTGATCATGTTATTGTTCATGAAGTTAGAGAATACCATAAGTGCAGGAAATGTACAAAACTTTTTGGTGACTACAAATCACTTAAAGCCCATATGAAACTGAAACACAAGAAGCGGAAGTGCTACATTTGCAATTACTGCGACAAGGTTTTCATTGATCGAATGTTCTTCAAAGTACATATAAGACTTCACTGTGATGTTTGCGGTATCTTAATGCCGAATAAATCAAAGTACATAGATCACCGACGTAACATATGTAGGGTTTTGAAAATGCATAAATGTAAAACGTGTGATTCGTCATTCTTTAAATTTATGGATTTGAAAGATCATAGTTATGAACATCTTAACACATATTTCATATGCGACATATGTAAAGACCAATTTGAGACTAAATGTGGTGTTTCTCATCATATTTCGTTTCTTCATTCTAAAGAACGACCAACAGCGTTGTATGCAATGCGTAATTTGGGTAGTGACCGCTTGTATCTATGTAACTTCTGTGAAGAATGTTCTGTAGAAAGAACTGTACTAGAAGCCCATGTACAGGCACTTCCAGACCTATCAAATCGTGCCATGACTGGATATAAGGATTATTATTTCTGTGATCAATGCTTAAAAAAGTTTGATACTGAACAAGATATGTTACAACACAAGTGGACACATTTTCTTAAAACTAGTGATAATTCTCAAGTGCGACCGAAAAGCATATTGACTAACGGTAACAAACTTATGTTTAAGACTACCTATAAGATAGATGAGACTGTACCTGAGTTCATGAAGCCTCAGGTAGTTCTTAAAAAATTAGACGACGATGCTGCAAATTTTAAATATCCTAATAATAATGAGAAACAAGTCAAGAGAGCAATGAAAAAGACAATTTTTTCAAACTTTCAGTGTGAGGTATATGATTTATTTAACTTTACATTTTTTCAATTTATTGTTATATATATGTTTAGTTTGCAGTGGACTTTAAACAACTTCGTCTAAACTAAAAAATGAATTGACTTATTAGATACAGTACTGTATTTTACAGTCACACAAATTTTGTTAATAGACTAACAAGAATGTTTTCATGCATTAGTAATGCTATATTCATTTTATATAGTATATTTTTTTATGTTTTGTACATCTATAAATAGATTATGTATTAAATTGGCTACATGACAGTTACAACAATAAATTATGAAGTGTGTTGGAAATGGTAACTTATATGTAATAAACATAATATGTATTATTTTTGTTTAAAAAAATTGTAAGAATATTTTCTTTAACTTCCCATGACAAAACATTATGTGATGTTACATTTTAATAAACTAAATGCCAACATCTTTGTTGTAAGTAATGTCCACAGATTGAAATATTGTTGGACCGATTGTTTTGTGAGATTTAAGTTAATGAATAAATATGTATTTCCTTTTTATAATGACACTTAAAATTAATATTTGGAAAAAAAATTGACGTTTATTATGATTGTATAGAAATTTTGAATACTTTCCTAAAACTGTCAAGTAGCCAATTGGAACAGACTTTTACTGTGGCTTTGTAGTATCACAGAAACTTTTTGTTTTTCAGACATGTGGGAAATATTATTCATCGAGTTACAGTCTTAATCGGCATATAGAATCGCAACATAGTGATTTTGAAAATTTACGATGCAAGGTTTGCGAGGAGACATTTGTTTGGCCCTCATTATTGAAATCTCACAAATGTATACGTCTCAAAATACCGGAAATGCCGTTTGATGACGCAAGACCGGAGATACACTTTGATAATTTACATGAACTCACTCAGAACGGTTTCGATGATTTCAATATAACGGACAATGATGATTATATGAACTCTGTAGACTTTGAGATACCAGCGCCAATAGTTGAACTATCCGAAGGCACGAACTCTTTTGTGAATAATCTGAACTATGTAGGCCCATTGCAAAATTTGGGTTACAAAGTGGTTATGCAAGAGGTACCGATAGAATTTTAAAATCTAAATAAGTAAGTATTTAATTGATATTGTATATATATAATAGAAGCTTGTGTAAGATAGTAAGAGCTGCACTTCACAATGTCTAGTCTATGTTAAAATTTGGTAGTTTTAAGTGTATTAAAATTTATTGCCGCTACTTGATTTGTTTACCCTTTGGTAAGTCAAATCTGCCTCGTATTTTCTATCTTTATCATTAATAGAAGATGTTAAATTACACTATTGGCTGTCACTCATATATAATGATTACCTATTACGGTAATCAAAACAAAAAATACTATTTAAAATAGTTATTTGAGATACGAGTGCGGAAAGTAAGGTTTTACAGTTTTCATTGGTACGAATTCGAAAAACATTTTACGCTAAAGTTATTTACAACATTTTTCAATGCTTTTTGCGAGGAAATAAAACAAATATATCATCATCATCAGCCCTTTTATGTCCCCACTGCAGGGGCTCAGGCCTTCCTTATGGATGGTTAAGGAGGCAAGTAGGTAATAATTATTTGTTAAAATTAAACGTGATATTTGAACATGTTTTCGTGACATACATTTTTAATTGAAAATATTCGTTCTAGGCTCCTTGAAATACTTTTGCCTCTAAAGTTGACATATTTAAAGTATGTGTGCAGTAAAGGATTTCAGTACATTTTTATTTAACACGTGTTTAAAGACTCACTTTCGGTGTTTACAATGGATTAAAAAAAATAGCGCTTTATGAGCAACTGCATTGAAAAAAAATTAATGAATCTTGCTCTTTTTTTAACACAATCGCTTTGTCTTAGTACTGCTGTAAGTAAAAAGAGTGACTAGATCAGGCCCGTATCGTCATTGGATCCTTCTAACTCTCGCCATCAATATAAGTTCATTATTTTTGTAACTCTATTATATGAAGATTTTTGATGCCCCTTTGACACGTTGCCGCCCGCTCACCCTTAGTTCCGGGCCTGGTGTAAGTAATCAGTAGACAAGGGCCTACTACATTTTTGTTACAGTTGGTGATGTTCCAATTTAAAATAATTTGCTCAGTCTAGGCTAGTAGCACTTGTGAATGTTGAAAACTACGTGGTTCGCAAATCTATGGCGCGGTATTATGGTATATTGCTTATGACTTATGGCATTAGATGAGGTGTAGCTCAGAATGTCAGGGATTTTTTATTTTTATTCCTTTGAAATTATATTTATACAAAAATATTTTGGTGTGACTAAACATTGTGTCGAAAATTATGACAAATTAATAAATAAAATGTGTTGTACTAAGTATGATCATAGGATATGATAGGTTGTATGGTATTATTAAATATTTATTTTATATTTGCATGGAAACCTGTAAGTAGTATTTTTGTTAGTTTTTGCTTGATTTTATGTCAGATAAATATTTAGTTTATAATTAAGAAATGTAATAAAAGATTCTGTTAACGAAATTTGTTAATTATACTGCCTTTTTACAGTTTATGCATATGAAATTTATTTATATCCACGAGCCTAATATTTACTAGGTGTAAGTGGGACATACACATAATTCGCTTTATTTTAATCCTTATTATTAAGAGAATAAGGCTCACTATACATTTTAATGGTACTTTCGGTCATCGTTTGTATTGTTAGAACTGCTCTGCGCTAAGATACACAATGCGTTATATTACTTTGAACTTACAGTGGTTAGCCATTTTAATTTTATCTTACTGTACTGGCTTTAAATATATTTTTTAATACTTCATATTGTAAAGCCGGTGTTAGACATGTGCTCAAATATCTACAAAGCCCCGTAGTGTGGCGCAGGTATTTGCGAATTTGTGCTAAGTTTGAACTCACTTGTAGTTTATCATAATGAGTCTTTTTGTGCGCACATCAAAGTAAACAAACATCAACATTGGTGCGGCTTGCCAAATTTGTTGCAATGTTTAGCAAAGCATAAGCAGTTGAAATAATGGGGTGGATTAATGATGTTATTCAAACAGAACCATCATTGAGGGATCTGGGGAAACAAAGAGTATAAAAACAGAAACCTATTAAACAACGCATGACCAAAAAAATTGTCTCTTCATCCATTCCGTCAGCCATATTTGTGACCATAAATTATTTAAAACGAAGTGGCAGGTATAAAATTATATTAAAATATGTGATTCAATTTTGATGATATGTCTGGCACCTACGTTAAGAAACATGTCTTTTTTTTTTTGAAAATTTTGTAATTATAAAATTATTTTATACTTCTGTAAATAAGTACATTTCTGATGTATCATGTAACTCTTTCTAAAACTCATAATGAAATAAGGCTCACTTCCTTTTCTCTCAGGTGTTAGTGTGATATTTTATATATTTCTTGGTGTAGAAAATGTACTTTTCTATATTGTCTCGGGTCTGGGCCTTCACTACTCATCTTGGAATCTGAGTTATTTATACTTTGTTGCCCAATATTTATTTATTTAGCAAAAAATATTGTTTAGTGACGATATCTGGTCTTTCATGGAAGTCTGTTATTAACAGTTGTCGCTCTAGCAATGTTTAATGTTATTTTTAAGCATTCATTCAGATTAAACAGAGGTGAGCCTTGTTTTTGTTTTAAAGTTATATATCGTTGTATTATTTCTAGCTAAGCATGGTTTAGACCTGAAATAAAATTTTATTTAAGGTTTTATTTAATCAACCACTGCCCTAATTATGTTATTTATATAGATTTTGGTGAATCAATGGCGCTTCAATAACAACTATTTTGACGCAGTACTTGTAACTAATAACTGTCTGAACTAACTGAAAAATCTACAATGATTTATGAAGAGCACTAATAATATTGCGCCTCAGTTAAAGTTCAATTAATAGTACGTATTACTGCTAGTTTTTATCGCCAGATTGCAGCACAAACACATCCATATAAAGATAGTAATTTCCGTTCCTTTATAGTCTATAATATGTTAGTTACATATTGAAAAACCGAAATTTGAAAAGTTCGAAACTTAGATATCAATACAAATACGAAAAAGTATAAATACAATATGAGTTGTTTATTGAGTTTTGAAAACTTATTTACTTTTAAACATGAAAGAAAACCGGAAAGGTTGTCATAGAGAAATCAAGAACGTATCGTAGCGACATCTAGTTTGATTTCTGGAACTATTTTTTTTAATAATTCCTCTTTTAATATTTTTATTACATTTGATTAATTTTGAATTCACAATGCCAAATTTAATAATTTTCTTAACGAAAAATGCTAAAAAATCCACTTTATCCTTAGCACTCTGAGATGCAAAATTGATGAAAATAATATAATAATTAGAACATAATATCTTTATCGAAATACTAGCTTTCCGCCAGCGGCTTTGCCCGCGTGATACCTAAGGAACTGTTTATTTGGGTATCGATTCATATCATGACACAGATATAATTACAAATTGAATGGTAAATTTAGGGTATTAAGTGTCGGACCCTATTTATGTTATCAGAAGGTTAAATAAGAAAACACGTTCACTCTGTAACTCCGTATATTAGCGACTAGTTAAAAAGTCTTTGTTCTACAGACGCTAACAAATTGTTTATAAACATCTTACAAACTAAACTGTACATGTACATGTAGGCATATGAGACCCTACAGTAAACAATGATTGCTGTTATCATAGAATAGTTGTTCATACATATATTTTTGGTATCTAGAACCGTTTCCGCAGCGCACGCAACGGAAGCCCTCAAGGATGGATAATTTTCCCCGTTTTTTTACACATTTTCCATTATTTCTTCGCTCCTAATAGTTGCAGCGTGATGTTATATAGCCTAAAGCCTTCCTCGATAAATGGTCTATTCAACACAACAAAAAAAAATTCAATTCGAACCAGTAGTTCCTGAGATTAGCGCGTTAAAACAAACAAACAAACTCTTCAGCTTTGTTATATTAGTATAGATTAAATATTTGTAAAAATATTTCTTTCGGTAGATGGATTTTGATTTATTTTAATTTCAAGAAGAATTTTATGACAGTGTTACTGAAATTTCGGATAATACAAACAATCAAGTTTCTCTACCTGTTAGGAGATATCCATTCAGAAACAGAATCCCTAAAGAGTGGTTTGAAGATATAGTTATCTACAAAGCTGAAGAAGATGATACCCCTTCAACCTTTAAGGAAGCCATTAATTCTGATGATAAAAATAAATGGCAAGAGGCTCTTCAAAGCGAATATGACTCCACTTGTAACTAACAAAACTTGGGTCCTTGTGGATAGACCTAAAAATAGAAAAATAGTCTGTTGTAAATGGGTATTCAAGATAAAGAAAAATGAAAACTGAGAAAATATACACTATAATAAGGTACGATTTGTAGCCAAAGGTTTTACACAAACTTACGGCGTAGATTATGACGAAAAATTCGCACCCGTTTCACGCCTTTCAACAGTTAGATTACTACTTGCTTTCGCAGCACAATGGAATATAACAATGGATCATACGGATGTTGAAACTGCTTTTTTCAACGATGATCTAAATGAAGAAATATACATGGAACAACCTGAGGGTTTCACTAAAGAATGCAACAAGGGGAAGGTATGCCAGTTAAAGAAAGCACTTAACGGTTTAAAACAAGCGCCTAGACAGTGGAACCTTAAACTTAACGAAGCAATGATGCAACTTGGAATGAAAAGGTCTGAACATGATCATTGCCATATTATAAAGTCAATGAAACTTGCATTTTAATTGTTGCAATCTTTGTTGATGATTTTTGCATTCTCAGTAATAATGCTGATATGAAAAAAAGTCATTAAAAGGGATATTAAACAATTTTTTAAGGTCAAGGATTTAGGAAACTTAAAGCATTTCTTAGGAATGAGAATCACAAAAGAGGAAAATGGTATAACCATTGATCAAGAAGAATATATTAAAAAGGTATTAGATAATTTTGCTATGACTGATGCAAAACCTAGCACACCTGCTGATCCTAATTTAAAATTAGTGAATTCTTCAAATGAAGATAAAGAAGCAGCTCAACGTTTGCCTTATCAAAGACTGGTTGGTT